TTTCATAATAAAAATAATGATAATCATGTTTATATAATAAACACAAAGAAAAAGGTGAAAAAGATGGATGAGGAAAGATTGATGATGGACAATTACAGTCGAGACTGCCTTAGCGACCCCCTGATTTCAACGACTCCCTGTCTTATCCGACCTTGTTTCAGTCCTCCCAACGTATTTTCCTATATAAATGGTCTGAATTATACGACTCCCTGTCATATGTGACAAGCGACCCTAATTATCTGGTCCCAATGCATTGCTTTGTCTGATTTAAACGACTTTCACACCTTTTAATTGTCCGTTAATCAGATAAATAATTCCTGTTTTAACCCAGAGAGACAAAATAATTAAGTCCAATTATAAATCCAGTAGTCAGTACTCTTCAAACAAACTCGACACACCTCTGATTACATGTATATATATGCAGGTGTCAAGTGACGTAGCGTCTGGAGTGTCCATAGCGTCTGATGCAATCGATGTGTGTTAACAAATTGAGGTCACAGGTGTAATTAACATAATGAACTGAGTAAACTGGATTAAGACTTGTGTTTAAAAAATTATGGAGTGCCAACGGAAGATTTTTTTTTTTATTTTACCTTTCTATGGCTGCATGGATAATACGGAAAAATGTTGACACCAGACTAATATGGATATGTTTTTAAAAGTATGATATTTATTTTAAGGATTTGAATGCATCAAATTCAAGTTTATTTTGTACCATAATGATTCAATATTAAACTAATACAAAAAATAAAATTTAATCTTATATGATACACATACTATTATATTTGCTTTACAGGGATTCTTATTTTGTTTACATCAAATATTTAAAGTACCGATGTGTATTTGCAATTGGTTATATATTATTCCTTCACACAGTTATACAGTATATATGTTTAGTCACAATGGTATATAGACAGATAGATGGTATTTAAATTTTAATTTTCTATGAGACTGTATTAAGAGACTCCCTGTCATATGTGACCTTTTTCTGAAGATCCCTTGGAAAGTCACATATGACAGTCTCGACTGTAGTTATATGAATTTTTTCACAGTTTGGGGAAGCAGCCCAGCCCTTAATTTTGGGGAAAAATTATATGGTATATTTGCAAAAGGGGAAGAAAAAACTTAATGTAAATTCAATTTTTGGGGAAAACTGCATGATTTTAAAGAAATTTTCTTTGGGGAAGCAGCCCTATACCGGCCCCTGTTATAGAAGGTAAAAAGGCCCTGAATTGATACTTGTGAAAGTGTTAGTGTTTATAAATACATGTACAATGATGATCTTAAAGTTAAAAGAATTTATTGTTATAACCATCTACTAGTCTGACAGTGACAATAGATCTTTTACATCAATAGCAACATTGAGATGATAAGTAGTTTCAATTAAATATAAAATACAATAAATAAGAAATAAGCCTGCTAAAATCCTACTCTTTCTTCCAAAGGGAGCTTCTTGAAAAAATGTGTGTAGTTATTCTTCACAAAAAATTATGGACATAAACAACAATCATAGATCTACAATGAATTTATTCTAAATAAATAGGCCTACTTGTATTCAGTAAATAAATTTAATAGAGATCTACAGTAAATATATAATTATTATAAAAAAATAATTTGAATAATAAAACTTTATGACGATAAGTTCGTCATGTTCATGGATATTTTGTTTCATCATCATGAATTTTTTCTGTTCAATCAATGTCAACATTGAAAAATATGATGCAAATTCACTATCAAATAGTAAAATTATAAAATATTTCCACATCACACTTACAAAAACAGATAATTCTCAGGAAATTTATGCAACACTGAACAATATTCTTACCTCATGGGCCCAAAGCATAAAACTTTTGCGATATTTCGAAATCGGCGCCACACTAACATCAACCTTTCACATCTTTGTTGCTAGTTACAACGTCACAATGAAATAAACGCGTCACTTCCGCCGATGCGCACACACCCTTTTCCGGTTATGTCTAAAATACTAACTTTTCTCTATTGGTCATCCACAAAAAATACTTTCAAATGAAAGTACATATCAAAATAAATTATTTTTAATTTAAAATTCGTTTAAGATATCTTATATTTAATTGTCTTAATTTAACAACGAGTTCACAAAAATAACTAGTATTTCTTTCCGCTGTTTAAATCAATTTACGCCCATTTGTATTTCTTTACCCACCAATCATTTATCAAAGGGCATGTAACTCTCATGATATTGCGCAAACCGGCTGTCTGTTATGACATTTTATTAAAACTCGCCGATTGTAAGTAATGTTCTTTTATATTTTAAGAGAAAAATCATATTATGCATGCGTTTCAAGTTCATTATAACATATCTTGCGCAGTGTCATGTAGTTAAATTAAAACTTAAAAACGTCATACTTGAACAGTATCCGGATAATTCAAGTGTAGACATTTTGGTTCATGTATCCCCTTTTTCCCAAGTTTTACAGCGTCTTTCAAGTTTTGTTGGATTGACTCTGTTTTACACGTGTAATTAATTATGATATGATATCTCATTAAATTTCTCATAATAAATTAAGTAAAAGTGAAAGTTACCAACCCTAATATGAAAAAGTCAAAGCCTCAAAGCGAGCTCGATTTTCTTTATCCGCAAAATAGTTTAAAATCTCGTTCATTTTTATTTTACATTTTCCGTTTTAAAATTGTTATTTGGTATTTTATACACTGCTTCCGTTTATTCTGGTACCCCCTTTCTATTATGGTTCCTATATATCTGCGCAGGACACTGAGTCTACACTTCCGTTTTCAATCAGAGTACATGGGCTTTCATCGTTATCTTGTAATTGGAAAAGTTGCGATGTGTCAATTCGACACTTCGGACGAAAGTTTTCAAAACCATCACTTAGCAGGTACTCGCGTTACCGTAAAGCTTGCTTTGCGAGCAGGCCCTTTGGGCCAGCTCGTCGAGCTCGCTATTACAAGTAGAGAAATTAATAGCGAACAGCATGGATCCTGATCAGAGCTGCGCAGATGCGGAGGCTGGTCTGGATCCATGCTGGTCTCAAACGCACTATGTTGGTTTTGTAGTGGCACGGCTCAATTATCATTTATGCACCTGAGTCTGCAGAGGTAGCAGTCCATTTTTTTTACGTTTTAGCAAACGAACTGAATAATGCTCTGTAACACAAATCGCCCATGAAAATTACATATAATCGTATATGTGGGATGTGGGATGTGTTCATTTTTTTTATACCATACTGTGTTCAGTTGATGGGGAAGATTATCAGCCAACTTAAAATTTTCATTTATCAGTTAACAAGATATTACCATAATACCACAGGTCTGCATTCAAAAATGTTAATCTGAATTTGGATATTGAATGCTGCAAATTTTATCATTTTTCATCCTTTCACTTTAAATTTTTTTATTTTACATTTATTAAAAAAAATTATTAATATTTTGGTACGAGCTGGTAAACTCTTACATTTTCTAGGAAAGATTCTCGGATTAGACATTTTGCACTTAATCTTTACTATTATTTTAGCTAGTGTGTCAGTAAAGAATGAGTGAGCTTCCAAGACTTACTGGTGCTCTCAGAGCCTTCACAGGTCTGTCTGGAACTTCCCTATCTGAGTCTTTTCAAGATGAAGAGTTGCTTAAGAAGAGACAATTTATGACAAAGAAAAAAACATCTGTTGAAGGTCAGTAGATTATTACAATGATTTAACATATTTTGGATAAATTTAAGATGTAGCATTTGGACTTTAGATCATTTCTATAATAGACTATAGTATGGAAAACTAGTAGGCCAGTTAACTAATGCTTATCACTTGCTAAAAGTTTACCAGTGCTCTAGATCTAGAAAAGCATTGTTTTATTGTTTTTATTATTTTTTTTTCTTCAGAAAAAACAAATAGAAATTTAAAACATGTCAGACTAAAACAAATTGAAAATCTAAATAATGAATAGTTTTATCTTAGAAATTGTTGTTATAACTTATTCAAGTTATTTAACAAGAGAATAAGTGGAAAAAAGTATTGTTTTTTTTTTTAGATACAAATTGGTAACAAAAGTTATAAGTGAAAAACTTTTAGCTACATGTAAAAAAAACAACATGTACATGTAGTGAAAAAGAATTAACTTAAAATCTTATTTAGAGCACTTATTAACCATTTAAAAATTTGATATTATATTTAAAAAATGAAAGTGCATTTTCTGAAAATCATGTACTGATTTTTCTGAAAACACTTTGATGGGTTTTGTAAAAAGATGCTACGATGAAAATATGTACACATAAGCGTAGAAAAAAATACCTAGGGTTTCTTTGTTAGAGTACTATGTCAATGACGGAACATTTTGTGTGTCATTGAAAACCCTTCTTAATTATTATTTGAGTTGATAAATCAAATGAAAGCTGTCCAAAACTAAACAAAATATGGCCAGAAATATTTGTACAATTCATACAAATAAAAAAAAACAAAAAACAATTATAATAATTTATATTCTATGTGCCTGTCCATCAACTATCATGTTGTATGCAAAGAAATAAGGTGCTATTAGACATTTCAACTTGGACTAGTAGAAATCCTTTTGTGTTAAATGCTTAGTTTTGAAACTTAATAGGGCCAGTGCTGTACTATATTGCATTAAACTAATTCCTGACTGCCATTCACTTCTGTGGATAAGATGCCTGACATTGTATTCATTCATATGTAGAAAATACATACATGAAGGTGTTTGCCAGAATGTCAATGGTTCTGCTCAGATTGCAGCTTTTGTCTGGAAAATTGGCATCTAAAGTCTAGTTAAGTATAACACTGAGTGCTATTGTGCCTTACAATGGAAATTTAATTAACATGAATAAACAGAAAAAAATGATACTTAACTGATACATTACAGAAATGTTAATGAATTTTTTTAATTCTTGTATGTTTAAGGTTCAGGATGGCAAAAGCTTACTGAAAAAATAAGAGAGAAAAGTTCAGCATCTAAAGATGAGATTGCTGGATGGTTTAAAGAGCTTCTACATGATGCAAATCAGATAGGTAAAGTATCAGTATACAGTAACATAAATCACAAATTTATATCAGGTTTTATAGTTATATTGTTTAAGAAAATAAAAGCAGGCAATTTATATTTTAAGTATGAATAAATGTTAGAATCCTCTGAAGGTTGAAGCCTAAGCAGACTGGTTTGGTGTGACCCTAATGATGATAAAAGCCGTTTAAATAAGGTTATAATTATCTATATAGTGAATCTGGTTTATAATGACAAGTATAGTGTTATAGAAAAGGCATGGTCTATGTTGGCTTCTCAAGAAAGGAGTTGTAGTGTCTTTCTTTCCTTGCTTTAGTGAATGATCTGATCATCTGTCCATGTACATCACATCTTTAAAAGTAAGAAAAAAAAAAGTTTTTCTATAATTGTCAAACACTGAGAAAATTAGGGAGCAATATTAGTGTGTCAACAGAATAACTGTAAAATCAAGTTTTATGAAATGAAAATGAAATAGGTAAATGTTATTTTTATTTTCATACAGTTGGAGATACTGCGGATGAAGAAATCATTGAAAGTGCTGCAGTTTATCTGTTCTCCGTGTTTAAAACTGCCGATAAGGTAACTCAGAAACAAACAAACACATTAAAAAGTGTTTTTGGCCCTTTTCCTGCATCTGTAGTGACAAAAACCTGTACTGTAGTAAATAAGATCACATCTACATTACCTGATGATGTCATACAGTTGCTTGGCAACCAGGTACGAGAAGAAGCAGACGGCGAGGCAACTGTCACTGAATTCGGAAAATCACTGAAATTCATCTATCAGAAACCCATCATTAAAGATGGAGAAATATCGAGCTCTGATTCGGAAGAGGAAGACAGGCAGATGGAAGTAGATTTGAATTATAGGAAAAGCACACAGACTTCTAGTGGTAAACAGGAAGTGAAAAAAGAAAGTGGCCCGAATATAGATGCAGAATGGCTGCAGCAGGAAGTAGCAAAGTATTATGGGGGAAGTGATTCTACAGCTTTAGGAATGAGTTTGGAAGATTTTGCTGCCACTATATTTGATGTTTTGTGTTCTCCAAAGTCGGATTCAGAGCTACAGAATGATGTAAGTGTTTTAAGTTTTTTTATTTTTAAACAATACAATACAACACAATATAAACACAATACAATTAAATTACAAATGTACGATGATATCTTTTTCTCAATTCAATAACACTTCTCAAAATTGAAAAATGCTTATAAAATGATACTTGTAACTGAATCTAACACTTGTTACTTTAAATATTGTCAAATATATGTAATTGTAATATAGCTGAAAAAAAGCTGTACCCACAAAATGTGTTTATATCTGCTGACTTTAATTAAATCTTTGATTTTCAGTTATTTGAACTTCTTGGATTTGAGCGTTTTGAGCTGATACAAAGTCTACTTGGTAACAGAGAGAAACTTCTGTACAGTGCTACACAGGAACCTGAAACTAAGAAATCTAATTTGTCAAGTATGTCTAAATTTTGTATGAATTTCAAAATTTTTTTTAGTGAATTACATATCTTATAAATGTTCCGGATAACAAATTCATAAGTACAGATATAGCAATTTTTGTGATCATGTATACGTATAGAGGCGTATTATAAAATCTTTTGTTGTCAAAAGTAGAAGTTTCGAAAAATATTTCCTAGCCTGATCCTAAATAGACCTGTCCATCTTTCAATCTGGACAATACCATTCATCACTGTAGGAATAATTTCAAAAAAAGTATGGACTGAATAGCAAACAGTGCAGACCATGATCAGACGGTATGGATGTGCTGACTGATCTAAGTCTGCATTGGTTGCATGGGTAGAAACAGTGGCCACTACCACTAGCTAATGGTTAAAATATCCATTGTAAAAGATTTTGCTATCAGCAAGATTACAAAGTGTAAATCTGTTACAAATGCTGACAATTTAAGAAAATGATTTCCTTTTTTCAGGAACTAAGACTGAAGGTTCAAGTAAACCTGGCTATGGATGTCAAGTCACTATACAGGTAAATTTCTTAAATCAAAATGAAGAAAATCATTAACAAAAACCTTATAAGGGAATCATAATGTTAGGGATTTTTTTGGCTCACATTTGTCTATAAAGTTCATATTCAACAACTATCTGTTAATCTTTGAAATCAATTTTTACCAGAGAAGTTTCTGGTAAGAGGGAAATGTTTTCTTCTGACTACGTCCTCTGCCGACCCGGTCTTTGTAAAATATAAATTAACAAGGAAAATAAGGGCCTTAAAAACCTTACTAGTATAAACGTTTAATTACGGTGAAATATTTATTTAGGATAACCTCAAATACTCACTACATTAAGTTGTATTCTTCCCATTTACTTTATTAATTAAGAATTAAATGTATTTTTGCAAAATTTAGTTGATTGGAAATGTCTAATGGACGGCGGTGGTTGGCCGAGGGATGGTAACTGTTCATTAATTGCTAGTTTACAGACTGACTTATCTGTACATAATAATGTTCAAAATATTACCAGAGTCTATACTGTTTGCTGTAAAGTTTTAGGATTTTGATTTTAAAATCCCCTTTTCCTTGCAATTGACAAGTCCAAAATCATAGCCGGACAGGTTCATTATGTAAATGTAGGGTGGTAAGGTTGTATATCACATCAATTGTTTTTCAGTCTGAGGAAGAGAAGGCCATGTTGAAAAAAATACGTAAAGAGGAGAAGAAGATGGATAAACGTGGTAATGTTCGTGGTGAAGATATGGATGATATTGGTGGATTTAATCCTGCAGAGCTACGTGCACAGAGGTAGATGTAGTTTTCCCATAGATATACTCTTATGTAAAGAAATACACATGTAAATACTGTTACAGTGTAAAATTTAGACTGAAATTCTTATAAGTATTTAAACTAGTCTATATATATTAGCAATTAGATAATAGTAACTTGGATTTAACATTTAAACTAGTCTTTATATATTAGCAATTAGATAATAGTAACTTGGATTTAACATTCTGATCCCATTAGACTTTCCATTGACATTTGACTTTTCGTTTACATTTCAAGTTTATCATATCTCAAGTTTTACCAGGAAATAGTCACCCATTGTCAAGAGAGTTTTATTAGTGGTGTAATTAAGGTCATTCCCCCCCCCCCCCCAAAAACAAAACAAAAAAAACAAAAACAACAAAAAACACACAAAGAAAAACAACAAAAATTTTCATTTATTTCAGTGGTGTAATTAAGATCATTCCCCACCCCCACCCCCCCAAAAAAAAAACAAAAAAAAAACAAAACAAAACAAAAAAAAAAAAAACAACAAAAAACACACAAAGAAAAACAACAAAAATTTTCATTTATTTCAGAGAGGCAGCATTACTGTATGCTAAGTCAGCACCAATGTTCAGTGGGAAATCAAGTCATACCACCAGGGAACGTTACCCATACGTGTTTGATAAAATGGAGGAGGCAAGAATTTCATCAGCCTTTATTGGCGGTGTGAAGGTAAAAAATAGATTCTATTATCAGAAAGGTGATAAATCAGAAAAAAATGAAAACTTTAAGTAGACTCTGTTGAGTGAGGAATGAATTCTTTTCTTTAAGTACCAGAAATAGTGTTGTTTTAGGATCAAAATTTAAACCTAAACCTCTATCTATCTCTGTATACTGCCAACCCCTCTTACGAGTGTTAAAGGCAGGAATTAAGCATCATAATGATGTATTGAACAATTTAAGTTAAAAAAAGTTCCTATCACATATTCAGGATTTTATTTCAGGAGGGTGTTTAAGGTTATGGGGAGGCTATATTTGTTTTCCAGATGTATTTATGCTTTAGCACTGGGTATTATTGCATTCTAAAATTATAAAAAAATAGCCCTTAGTGAATCTACACTTATATTATTTCATATTAGTTCATGTAGAAAATAATAAAAGATTTGGTAAATGAACAAGTTTTTATGTATGTGGCCTTTATTTGAGTGTGGTCTTTATTTGAGTGTGGTCTTTATTTGAGTGTGGTCTTTATTTCATAGATGATCATCTGAACAGGTTTTACTGTATATGATACAGTTCTTTGTATATATTACAGATGCATTTACCAGACACTATATCACGTAACAATAACAAGGTGTATGAGGAAGTGAACATACCTCATAGTGATGCTGCACCGACCCATGTCGGAGATAAACGTGTTACTATAGATACACTAGATGAGGTAAGTCTCCAGACTGTCCTATAAAGTAGGTTTTGGACCTTTTTTTCAGCCCTATAACAGCACAAAATGCTATACATATTTTTGTTACCTTTGTTTGGAAAAAACTATCTCAACAGTATGGTAGTGGTGTTATTTTCACTCTGGCTCATGGCAGTAAGCCACAATTAATTTATAAGAGCACTGTTTAGCCACCACATCGTTCCTGGGCAGGCTGTCAAGCAGTTTACCAGTACACGGTGCCTTCACTTTCACAAGGAACTGATAACCTCTGTACATGGCACAGCATAGGTACAGTGCAAATGACTGTAGAAAGAATTTCATCAAACACAACGAAAGTGACCTGCACCTTCCAGGAATCAAACCTGAGTCGCCCGATTTACAGTTCAGTGCTCTACCTATTGAGCTAACCGGACAGCTTATCAATGGGATGGCTGGGAGAGTATGTTAAAGTATATATAGTGAGTAATCCCTAAAAAGAGGAGAAAGTTTGGGAACTTCAGGAAGTTCTGTCCTAAAAATTGATATACTAGAAAGTATGTTGTGCAATGTTTAGTTTTAACCTTTGGCTTTTGTTGGAATATTAATTTGATGAAATACTGGAAATTTTTGATGGTTGTTTGAAAACAATATAACACACTGTCTTCTAATTATTTTTTTAACATTAAAATATTGTCACTGTTTTTAGCTCACCTGTCACAAAGTGACAGGGTGAGCTTTTGTGATCGCTTTTCGTCCGGCGTCCGTCCGTCCGTCCGTCCGTCGTCCGTCCGTCGTCCGTCGTCCGTCCGTAAACTTTTGCTTTAAATGACATCTCCTCATAAACCACTGAGCCAATTTCATCCAAACTTCACAGGAATGTTCCTTTGGTGGTCACCTTTAAAAATTGTTCAAAGAATTTAATTCCATGCAGAACTCTGGTTGCCATGGCAACCGAAAGAAAAATCTTTAAATATCTTCTTTTAAACAACCCTAAGAGCTAGAGCTTAGATATTTGGCATGAAACATCTTCTAATGAGTGTCTACCAAGTTTGTTCAAATAAAAGCCCTGGGGTCAAAATTGGCCCCGCCCCCGGGGGTCATTGATTTTCCCTATATGCATATAGTAAAAACTTAAAAGATCTTCTTTTAAAGAACTGTAAGAGCTAGAGCTAAGATTTTTGGCATGGAACATCTTCTAGTGAGTGTCTACCAAGTTTGTTCAAATAAAAGCCCTGGGGTCAAAATTGGCCCCGCCCCGGGGGGTCATTGATTTTCCCTATATGCATATAGTAAACACTTAAAAAATCTTCCTTTAAAGAACTGTAAGAGCTAGAGCTTAGATATTTGGCATGAAACATCTTCTAGTGAATGTCTACCAAGTTTGTTCAAATAAAAGCCCTGGGGTCAAAATTGGCCCCGCCCCAGGGGGTCATTGATTTTCCCTATATGCATAAAGTAAAAACTTAAAAAATCTTCTTTTAAAGAACCCAAAGAGCTTAGATATTTGGCATGAAACATCTTCTAGTGAATGTCTACCAAGTTTGTTCAAATAAAAGCCCTGGGGTCAAAATTGGCCCAGCCCTGGGGGGTAATTGATTTTCCCTATATGCATATAGTTTAAACTTAAAAAATCTTCTTTTAAAGAACCGTAAAAGCTAGAGCTTAGATATTTGGCATAAAACATCTTCTAGTAAATGTCTACCAAGTTTGTTCAAATAAAAGCCCTGGGGTCAAAATTGGCCCCGCCCCAGGGGGTCATTGATTTTCCCTATATGCATATAGTAAAAACTTAAAAAATCTTCTTTTAAAGAACTGTAAGAGCTAAAGCTTATATATTTGGCATGAAACATCTTCTAGTGAATGTCTACCAAGTTTGTTCAAATATAACCCCTGGGGTCCAAATTGGCCCCTCCCCAGGGGTCATTGATTTTCCTTATATGCATATAGTAAAAACTTATAAAATCTTCTTTTAAAGAACCCAAAGAGCTAGAGCTAAGATATTTAGCATGAGACATGTTCTAATGGGTGTCTACCAAGTATGTTCAAATAAAAGCCCTGGGGTCAAAACTGGCCCCGCCCCGGGGTCATTGATTTTCCTTATATACATAGCAAAAACTTAAAAATCTTCTTTGAAAAAACCCAAATAACTAGAGTTTAGATATTAAGCATGAAACATCTTTAAGTAAATATCTACAAAGTTTGTTCAAATAAAAGCCCAGGGGTCAAAACTGGCCCTGCCCGAGGGGTGTCATTGTTTTTTACTCTATGTGTATAGTAAAAACTTAAAAAATCTTCTTTTAAAAAACCCAATGAGCTAGAACTTAGATGTTTTGCATGAAACATCTTCTTATGGGTGTCTACCAAGTCTGTTCAAATAAACAAATAAAAGCCCTTGGGTAAAAATTGGGCGGGCCATCATGGCCCTCTTGTTATTCCTTATGAATAAAGTTGTAATAAAGAAGTCAAAACTGTATGATTTAAAACAAGTTCTTTATTTAACTATTTATAATTTGTAAGTTCTGTAACTTTTAACATACATGTATAACAAGAACTTGCATTTAGTATTATTATGCTTTTAATTTCATTTTGTCCAATATAGATTGCTAGAATGGCCTTCAAAAATACTAAGTCCCTGAATAGGATCCAGTCAGTGGTATTTGAGACAGCCTATAAAACAAATGAGAATCTGTTGATATGTGCACCAACAGGGGCGGGTAAAACCAACATTGCTATGTTGACTATACTACATGAGATGACACAACATATCTCCCAGGGTGTCATCAAGAAAGATGACTTTAAGGTATGGTTCTTCTAACTTTACTTCATGTTCAAGGCTTTAGATGTAAATTAATTTATGTTCCATGTTTTTTTACTTCCTTATACATTACTCGGTAGAAGGTTTTAGATGTAACTTATTTTTTTGATAAAAAATTTCTTGCTTACATTGAATTCATGGGAAAGATTTTCTTTAATTTGTAAGCCAATATGTAAAAAAACATACTGCAGCAATCTCAGATTGCATAGGCTCAAATTGGGTAAACACTGTAGTTAAAGGTGTATTTAGTGAAAAATATCCAACATGGAATGTTGAAATATTACATTGGATAGAGCTACCTTGCCAGCTTGTGGATATATTTTTTGGTATGACACATGTACACATTCCGCTAAAAATAATGCAAAGTTGGAAACAGGCCACGTGTCTTAATAGAGTTGGTCCAGCCAACAAGTAAAATTAATGATAATAAATAATAATAATAATAAAAAATGTCAAGTATAAAGAATGTCAAGTATTAAATAAAGAATGTCAAGTATTAAATAAAGAGTATCAAGTATTAAATAAAGAATGTTAAGTGTTAAATAAAGCATGAAAAATTGTAAAATTAAGCAGGCAACAATATAGTCTGACCAGATCAGTCTGAAGCTCAGATAGGACTGGCTTTTTCATTGTTACATTTTTCCATATTCTAGAAACAAATCAATATCAAAAATTGTTTTATTTATAAATATATTTTCTTGTAATACATTTTGTTACAGATAATCTATGTGGCTCCAATGAAGGCTCTGGCTGCTGAGATGGTTCGGAACTTTGGGAGCAGACTTGAACCTCTAGGTATCTCTGTGAGAGAGCTTACTGGTGACATGTCTCTCACCAAATCTGAAATCATGAAAACACAGGTTCATATTTTGTTTTTGATTTTGCATGACTTTGTTAACATTTTTTATTGCATATGAAATATTTTTTACTGAAACTCATCCAGTCTGTTAAAGTTATAGCATATAAAAAAAAATAGACAGAAGGGAACTTTTTATTGGAATGTGCACTGATGTTGAGTTTAATTAGAGTTTACATGATAAAGATTATTTTAAAAACTAAGAATATGACTAGATTTATAGTTTACCTGTTTTGTTAGTGCAGACTCATACTGCAGTTTATTTCCTTACCAAACTTGTTTTACACAACTGTCCTGTTTATAAGTTAGTTCATACAAGTTTATTTTAGTTTGTGTTGGAAGCTATAAGCTTATTTAAACACTCTTGAATCTGTTCCTGGAATCAACCAGTACTAAGCAAAGAATGTTCAATTTCTTGCTCAAGGGAACGAGGGCTTGACAGGGTTTGATCCCTCGCGGTTAGAAAGCCTTAGATTACTAGTCTGCGTTAAACTATAAATCTAATCAAACTTGGTAACCACTTGGTCACGCTGCCACTCTATGTTTATAAGTTACTCTAAGTTCTGAATTTTCTTCCCAAATTGAAATTGTGTAGCTGGTTAGAGATAGGAGATCAGCTTTTATTAGAGTAAGTAAGTAAAATAAATATTTTATTAATATGTAAACATAAAAAACAGTGAACATACATGAACATAACACTAGTAGAATAGGTCTATGTAATGAGCGTTTATTTTTTGTATATAGATGATGGTAACAACACCAGAGAAGTGGGACGTGGTGACCAGAAAAAGTACCGGGGATGTAGCATTAGCTCAGCTGGTTAAGTTGTTGATCATAGATGAAGTGCACTTACTACACGATGACAGAGGTTCTGTTATAGAAAGTCTGGTGGCTCGTACACTAAGACAGGTATCTAATTATTAGTTTAAACATTATTTTATTTCAGATTGGTTGTTAAAATAAGCATGTGGATTATTGTTAATTTGCACCACTCTTTAAGTCAGCTTCCGGGAAGTAACCGGTACAGGTGTCATATGAGGAAACTTGGTTGTTAGCCCAGTAGTGCTTGAACCTCTGATCCCTGGGTTGAGAGGCAGACTCTTAACTACACTTTAGTTAGGGGCTTACCTGGCCAAGTGATAAAAGTTGCAGACTTTCAGTCACTTGCTTTTTACTGCTCTGGGTTTAAATCCTATAAGGGATTTTGGATTGTTTCATGTGAAGAAGCTATCCAGTTAGCTTACAGAATGTCAGTGCTGCTACTCAGGTGCAAACTCTTGTCTGAAATAATGAATGTAGAGGCATTAGAGGTCCTCCTCTACCAGTAAAGTTTGAAAATAGCTACCTGACCATAGAAGTGTTTGTGTGAATTTATATTCTATGTTATATTCAAACACATTTAATTCTTTTAAGGTTGAGACATCACAAAGTATGATCAGAATTGTGGGCCTGTCAGCTACCCTGCCTAACTATATAGATGTTGCAAGATTCCTCCATGTCAACCCTTATCTAGGTCTGTTCTTCTTTGATGGCAGATTCCGACCAGTTCCTCTTGGAATGACATTTATAGGTAAGCTATTAAATTGAATGATAATGCTTGTACAGCATGAGATTTCATAGCATCAAAGGGTCATAGATTAAAGAAAAGAAAAGTAAACAAATAGTACATTCAAAATGAATTGTTGGACCCATCATTATCTGTGATGAAGGTTTGTTCTAGTAGTCTGACAAAGCAAGTTGTCCTGTTTTTGCCAACTTTTCTGTGTAATTCTCTCAAAAAGTGGTGGTCCTGGAGCAATTTTAGAAGTAGTTTATGCAAAAATATTATCATGGGATCATGAGAGGGGTGGGGATGGTGAGTGAGGTGTAAATTTTGGATTTAATTTTTTTTATCAGATTATCCTATGACATGTTATGTTGAAAATTAACTTTTGAAATGCTTCTCTGAAGATGATACATAGAAATTATTTCTTGGTTATCACATGATGATTATCTGAAGTATTATCACATTTTTTTTTCTCCTAAGAAGATACATTGAAATTATTTCTTGGTTATCACATGATAATTATCAGATGATTATCACATTTTTTTCTCCTAAGAAGATACATTGAAATTATTTCTTGGTTATCACATGATAATTATCTGAAGTATTATCACATTTTTTTTTCTCCTAAGAAGATACATTGAAATTATTTCTTGGTTATCACATGATAATTATCTGAAGTATTATCACATTTTTTTCTCCTAAGAAGATACATTGAAATTATTTCTTGGTTATCACATGATAATTATCTGAAGCATTATCACATTTTTTTCTCCTAAGAAGATACATTGAAATTATTTCTTGGTTATCACATGATAATTATCTGAAGTATTATCACATTTTTTTTTCTCCTAAGAAGATACATTGAAATTATTTCTTGGTTATCACATGATAATTATCAGATGATTATCACATTTTTTTCTCCTAAGAAGATACATTGAAATTATTTCTTGGTTATCACATGATAATTATCTGAAGCATTATCACATTTTTTTCTCCTAAGATGATACATTGAAATTATTTCTTGGTTATCACACGATAATTATCTGAAGCATTATCACATTTTTTTCTCCTAAGATGATACATTGAAATTATTTCTTGGTTATCACACAATAATTATCTGAAGTATTATCACATGTCTAATTACAGGAATAAAAGCGTTGAACCGTGTTCAGCAGATGCAGGACTTTAACTTGGTTTGCTATGAGAAAGTATTGTACCAGGTAAAGCGTGGCTACCAGGTGATGGTGTTTGTTCACGCACGTAACGAGACTGTACGAACAGCATCCGTGTTGCGAGATCACGCCAAGAATAATGGAGATATCAACCTGTTTTACCCTGAACAATCAGCCTCATATGGAGATGCTCTTAAAAATGTAAGTTGCTCTTGTAAGAATAACTATGTTTTTTGGCTCCATTTGTGCTCAAGTTCTAGGTATAGAAAAATGTTAATCGGGTTTAGGTCTTAATCAGAGATGGTCTTTTTTGGAGGTTCAACTGTGCTGTAGATTTAGCACATCATACAGCAATGGATAAGATGCTTTTCTAGTGATTTACAATTTAAAAAGATGTTTGATCTCAATCTGTATAATTTTAGTTATTTGCTTTAAGACTGAATAAGTTTGCAGGATAACCTACACTTTCTCTTCCACATTCCACACTCTAGCACCTCCTTCTTAAAATAATTTAATTATGATGTTATAAGAATTTCTTATATACAGTTGAACTTCGTTCACTCGAACTCGGAGGGTCTGTGCAAATTTGTTCGAGAGATTGGTAGTTCGAGCAAACCGAGGTTGAACTATTCTCACATAGAACATAAGCCTAAACTTTTCCAGCTTACATCTGTTGAATGCTAAATACATCAATATAATTGTTTGTTAGTACATCAGTCCGTCGAATACGTCATTTCTTTTAAATATTAAGAATTATTATCCCAGTGTTTTCAAATAAGTATTACCAGTACACTGTGTTAATCTATATTCATGCATATTGTAAATGGTTGAGTCGATTTGGCAATAGGTTTCCAATCTTGTTGAACAATGTTCAAAATATATTTAAATGTTTACATTGTATTATGGGACAAAAATTAATTTTAAACGATGAATTCATTAAATATTAAAAAATAACATTTAACAGCAGCATTTATTTGTTGTCATTTACTATACAAGTATCATTCTATCGATATTAATGCTACATACACCACGGTGTTAATTAAAGCCGCACGGGTAAACGTCATCTATTTATTGACTTGTACTTTTCACTTATTTCACGAGTTATTTTCTTTATATCGTTACTCAAGACAGGAAATAAACAAAATAATCATAACAAACAAATCGGGTATAACACCTCTAATTTTTCTATCAATTAACCTTAATTGCCTTTATCACGATTTCGAGGTGTTGAAAACATGTGTCGCCGGCTGTCACTTATTTAGAACATGTCGACCTACAACGTTTGTTATCTTTTTGTGTTCGACCAAAAAGTGTGATTTTCACTCTATTTCTGCCGAAGGGACCAGAGATCAGGTTCGAGAGTTTGAGCAATAGGTGTTTGAGCGATCAGAGGTAGAACAATATAAATTATATAGGAATTTTGCCAGGACTGGGCGATGAGTTCGAGCGAAGGGAGGTATTCGAGCGATCCGAGTTCGAGCGAACGAAGTTTAACTGTACATTATTAGATTATTACATTTAATTTCTGTGAAAGTAAAATAATGTCATTCACTGAAATGGCTGCAATTTTGTAATAAAGTTGATTTTGTATCATGTATAATATAGATAATGAAGTCTAGGAACAAGCAGATGAAGGAGTTATTTACGGACGGTTTCAGCACTCACCATGCTGGTATGTTACGTCAGGATCGTAATCTTGTAGAGAAATACTTCGCTGCGGGACATATCAAGGTGCTCGTGTGTACAGCTACACTGGCATGGGGCGTGAATCTTCCAGCCCATGCTGTTGTCATTAAGGTATTTCTATTGTCATTTAATGATTGAATTAAATTAGATATGATATACAGTCTGACCCCGGTTATTTCCGATTTCGATTATTCGAACCCATCGATTATTCGAAGTGAATATACAGTCCCAGGCACTTCAATAAACGGGGTTGGACTGTATATCAAGACATTCTTGGCTGTGACTGCATTAAGTTTACACAATTTATAAAAATCAAATGAATTGAAGTCTGAGAAAACAAAACAAAATACTTCTGGTTTATCAATTTTATTATTGTATACATTGTGGGTCCTGAAAGTAGCAAAAACAGTCCCAAATTCAAAACAGCTAATTTCATCATACAATTTCTGCAGAATGATGGTTAAAGGAACTCCACTAAGGTCCTAAAGCATAAAAACATAAAATTTAAATTTCTAACATAGATCAGTTGGAAATTTTGTACACAAATTATTTGTCTAGATCTACATAAATAAGAGCATTAAACTCCAAACATTATTGCAAGTCCTGTCATGTCAAAAAACAGAGGAGTTCCTTTAAGAAAAAGGTATTTGTTTAACCATGGAGATGCTAGATAATCTGTTGCGTTTCAAGACAGTGATATAACATAATACTGTTTATGACTCACAGGGCACCCAGATATATGATGCCAAGAAGGGATCATTTGTTGATCTAGGTATCCTAGACGTGATGCAGATATTTGGACGTGCCGGACGACCCCAGTTTGACACATTTGGTCACGGTACTATAATCACCACCCACGACAAACTGTCACACTATCTCTCTCTGATGACAAGACAGAATCCAATAGAAAGTCAGTTTGTTAACAGCCTAACAGACAACCTGAATGCTGAGGTATGTCCAAATTGTTGGCTGTTCATTAATAGAGTTATTAATAGATAATGTAATATTCTTTTAATGCTTAATGCCTCTATCAAGATTCTTAAAGAAATTAAGGTTTTTTACTGGCAAGCAAAATAAATTGCAGTTATTTGATAGCCATAACATCCAAAAAGAAATGCTTTGGCTGTGTGGCCTAGTGGTTAACACGTCAGACTAGTAATCAAAGAATTTCTGGCCGTGTGGGCTCAAACCCTGTCAGGGTCAGGCTGTTGTTTCCTTGAGCAAGAAACTACATTCATTACTTATGTACTGGTTGGTTCCTAGAACGGATTTGAGTGTGTTTCAGTAAGCTTGTAGTTTTCAACACAGTCAACCTAAAATGTATAAATGGAAAGAATTAATGAAAAAATACAATTCTAAATTAAATTACATAACTATTACATAAGTCATGCCAGTCCCTTTCGAAGGGGGAATAATCCTTTTGTTTAAAATTTGACAAAGAGTCTTAACTGTGTGTAGAAAATTTGAAATTCAAACATTTGATTATCTTTCTTTCCATTGGAAATTTTCTGAAAAGAATGAGTCATTTAGCAAATAATCAAGACACCATATTATTTTCAAGACAAAAGTAATTAATTGATAGTATTATGTGATATAAATGATGTGTTTTCAGATTGCGCTGGGTACAGTAACAAATGTCGAGGAAGCTGTGAAATGGTTAAGTTATACGTACCTGTATGTACGTCTCACCTGTAACCCTCTAGTGTACGGTGTCCCATATGCAAGTGTGGAGGAGGACCCGACTCTGACTCAGTACCGGACAGAATTGATCATAGGTAACCTTTAAAACTTTAGCTTGCTGATCTACCAATGTAATAAGTGAAGACCAAGATTAGCTGGCACATCTTTGCACTGTTCACTATTCAGTCAGTAGATATAATGAAATTTTCCCTAAAATGATGACTGGTTTTGTACTGATTGAAAGATAGACAAGTTCATTTCAGATATTTAGTGTTAGTGTTAATAGTTTGATTTTTTTTCTCAAAGTAGAATTTCAGCTTTATGTTGATGCTGATTTGGAAAATTTTCAAATCTGGCATTTACTCAAGTGAAAGTTAACATTAAAAAAGCATTTAAAAAACAATTTTGTTATATGTCATGAAAAGAATTATCTCAGTTTTCATAAGAAATGTAAATTTAGTAGCCTTTGAATGTCCATTCAATAGTTAAGGACCTTCGTTTGCTCAGAAATAAAATTAAACACTTTGCATTCTTCTTTCCTTGGTCAAGTCTGAAAATTAATTTATTCTTTATTTTAACCACAGTTGTAATGAGAAACATAAGAATTATATTTGCATGCAAAGTGGTATTTTAATAATAATTTGCTTATTTCCTTACTCATTTCTGATAACAAAGTATTTGTTGTTTTTCATTCTTAATCTAAAGTAAGCAAAAAAAACCTCATTTCTTGATAAGTTGATGTGATGATTTATGATCTGTATAACTTCAAGGGGATATGTTTGTAAGAAGTTCTAACAGTAAAGTATTTTATTTTACTATTCCAGATGCAGGCAGAAAACTAGACAAGGCTCGTATGGTAAGGTTTGATGAAAGGACAGGGTACTTTGCTTCTACAGATCAGGGAAGAATTGCCAGTCATTTCTACATCAAATATGATACAGTGGAGGTATTATACCCTTTATGTTATAATTGCTTTTTGTGCCCCCACGTTAGTGGCGGGCATTTAGATTTACCCTTGTCCGTCCGTCTGTCCGTCCTTCCGTCCGTCCGTCCGTTCACTTTTGTGTCGCACGTAACTCAAAAAGTATTTGACCTAGAGTCATGAAACTTTACAGGAATGTTGATCAGCATGTGTAGTTGTGCACCTGGGTATTTTCGTCTGGATATTTTTAGTATTTTCAGAGTTATTGCCCTTGACTTAGTAAAATTTTGCAATTTTCAACTTGTGTCGCATGTAACTCAAAAAGTATTTGACCTAGAGTCATGAAACTTTACAGGAATGTTGATCAGCATGTGTAGTTGTGCACCTGTGTATTTTCGTCTGGATATTTTAAGTATTTTCAGAGTTATTGCCCTTGACTTAGTAAAACTTTGCAATTTTCAGCCTTGTGTCGCATGTAACTCAAAAAGTATTTGACCTAGAGTCATGAAACTTTACAGGAATGTTGATCAGCATGTGTAGTTGTGCACCTGGGTATTTTCGTCTGGATATTTTTAGTATTTTCAGAGTTATTGCCCTTGACTTAGTAAAATTTTGCAATTTTCAACTTGTGTCGCATGTAACTCGAAAAGAATTTGACCTAGAGTCATGAAACTTTACAGGAATGTTAATCAGCATATGTAGTTGTGCACCTGGGTATTTTCGTGTGGATATTTTTAGTATTTTCAGAGTTATTGCCCTTGACTTAGTAAAATTTTGCAATTTTCAACATGTGTCGCACGTAACTCAAAAAGTATTTGACCTAGAGTCATGTAACTTTACAGAAATATTGATCAGCATGTGCAGTTGTGCACCAGGCATTTTCGTCTGGATTTATTTAGTATTTTTAGAGTTATTGCCCTTCACTTAGAAAATTTTTGCAATTTTCAACTTGGATTTGACATAGTCATTAAACCTTATGGGCAGGTTGCTCAGCATATTTTAGATTTGCACCTGGGGTTTCGCTTGTGGATTTATCAAATATTTGTAGAGTTATTTCCCTTGACTTAGTAAAAAGATTGACAGAACAGTGGCGCGGTGGGGGCACCCGTGTCCTATGGACACATTTCTAGTTCTGTGGACATTTACTCTTGTTTTCAAACAAAAAGCTGGTTAACAGTTACTAGAGATTTGTCTACATTAATTTCTACATGAAATATAACCTAAGGCAAGGGCATCTGAGGTCATATGTGTTATATTTTTTTCTATTGACATTTTACTCTGTTTTTCCAAATCAAAACTTGAAAAGTTGCTATACAGTTACTTGAGTAGTGTCTACATTTATGAAATATAACAACTCTACATTAATGAAATATAACAACTCTACATTTCTGAAATATAACACAATAGAGGGGCACCTGAGGTTTACTTCACTAGTAAAGTTTGAAAGTCACAATACGACAATTATAAAAGACTCAAGGGAGGTTAATCACATATGATTTGTTGCTTTAAGCATTGGTTTAAACATATTTATTAGATATATTTACATTTTGATGAACAATTTTACACAATACATTTGGGATTGGGCAGAAAGCTATGAAAGGTTATGAGTGTCCTGTCCCTGCTTTAAGTAGTCTTTACACTTCAGAGAAAGTCTGGTATGCAATTGCTTGAGAAATGTTCACCTATGAGTTATAACTGTATATGAATTATGTTAAAAAATGTTAACACTTAGCCTTGTAGTGGCTACAGAATCTGCCCATGTAACCAGTGCAGACCAAGATCGGTCGGCAAATCCCTGCCTTCTGATCATGGTCGGCACTGTTCACTATTCAGTTTGTACGTATTTTGAAATTTTCTCAGACTGAAAGATAGACAAGTCTATTTATTATAAGATATTTATGGCTAAAGTTATGTACATGTAGTTGTGAGTTACAGTGTCACAACATTAAATCTAATTAACAAAAATCTTTGATTTGTCATGAAGATGATTACATTTTTATGCTCCCCGAAAAATTTTGAACTTTGTCTGGGACATAACTCTTGATGTATAAGAGGTATCAACGTGAAACTTTGTAGGTAGATAGATCTCATTCAGTAAGTTTGCAGTGCACAAGAACTGTAGCACTGTCTTGCCTACTTTTGGAGTTATTGCCCTTTGTTCATTTTGACACTTTGAACTTTGTCCGGGACATTACTCTAAAATTATAAGAGATATCAACATGAAACTTTGTAGATAGATAGGTCTCATTGGGTGGAAGTGCAGTGCTTAAGAATCATTACTCTGCCTTGCCTTATTTTGAAGTAATTGCCCTTTGTTTATTTTTACTTTTTGACTTTTGTCCGGGACATAACTTTAAAACTATTAGAGATATCAACATGAAACTTTGTAGGTAGCTAGATATAATTGGATAGAACTGCAATGCTTAAAGAACCTAAACAAAGCCTGGTCTAATTTTGGATTTATTACCCTTTATTCATTTGTACACTTTGAATTTTACCTGGGACATAACTCTGATATCATCAGGAAACTTTATAGATAGATAGATCTCATTGAATAGAAGTGCAGTGCAAAAAAACATAACTCCGCTTTGCCTAATTTTGGAGTTTTTGCCCTTTGTTCATTTTTTTTATACTTTCCTGTGTCCAGAACCTTCTCGGGGAGCATCACCCGGTTCAACCGGTTCTTGTTTACTTCTGTTTGTAAAGTACAGTTATACTATGTATCATATATATATATATTACAGGTAATAAATGAGTACTTGAAAACTGTGATGACCGAGGCAGACATTTTTGCTCTAGTCTCAAAGTCTCAGGAATTTGATCAGATAAAGGTATGATATAAACTTTTCATGTTCATTACCTTTCATTGTTACTTTTTAAGCGGCAGTTTACATAAAGCCATGCAATCATAACAACATCCTGCTGATGTTCGAGCTACATGATAGGTGCTCTCTTAACTTTTGTTTTACTGAAATAACTTGTAAAAATTTGCGAGTGTAAGATTAATCCACTCACAATTTTCAAAATTCACATGCATTTTGCCATATTGCTTGCTGAAATTTGTACCCTGTTAAATACTCAAATGTACACAAATTCCATACGTATTTTTTAACTGAAAAATCTTGTATGCAATAGATGGTTTGGACAAAAAATTGTCTGAAGTATTAATATTCCACATCCAATATTTTTGCATGTGAATTTTCTGTTATGTTTTCTTAACAAACCTTTGGTGAACAGTTAACAAAATGAGAAAAAAGAATATTGCATATGAACGAACACGTATATGCACCTACATAAAATTTCTTTTGACAGCTTAATAACATTTAACTCATATTTTCTTGTATAAATTTTCATTTAAAAGGGAGATTACTCCTAGTGGAAGACTCACTTTACTGTAATTGTCAATTTTATTGAATATTGTAATAAACCATGTTTCATTGTAAGTATTTAGAAAGTACATATCAATTTTTGAGTGCATTTTTGTAGAATAATGCACAGTTTGAGTTCAAATGTGCAGATATATATAATTAAGTATGAAGTATTTGGATAATAAATCATGCATTATTATACTACAAGCAAGGAAAATGAATGTTATTTCTATTCCAACATGCTTTTGAAAAAAGAATTGATAAATATATGCTGAACTACGTTAAGCGTAGAAGTAATTTTCCTGATGTCATTTGGTTTATTGACATCATAATTGCTGTTATATGACATGCAAACATTTGTTTGTTATGCCTTGCATATATCATGTTATAATGCACTAGACAGGCCTATCTATTTGAATGAGGAACAATGTGAAGCATGTAACAATGTTGGAATATTATAATAAAGCATGTTTCATTGGTATTGTTGGATATTATAAGGTTCGTGATGAAGAAATGGAAGAGCTAGAGAAGTTATTACATGATACATGTGAGATGCAGGTTCCTGGTGGTGTAGAGAACTCCTATGGTAAAGTGAACATTCTACTGCAGAGTTTTGTATCCCGTCAATATCTTGACAGTTTCTCTCTGGTTTCTGACCAATCTTATGTTGCTCAGGTAAGTTTCTAATGTACTTTAAATGCTTAGAGAAAATTCTTAAATGGAACATGAGTTGAAATGCTCTTATTGTGTTTTGTATAAAGCAAATGCTTAGACAATTCTTAATTACTTCATTATTAGAGCTTGAATTTGTAATTGAAAAGGGGTTTCCCTGGTTCAATTCTTGATTTCATGACATTTGAATCTAACGTTCATTTGTTCATTTCATAGCAGGGGCCTAATCATTCCAAAATTAGAAGTCAAGTTGCGGAGGAAAATGGCAATTATGGTTCTACCAGGAAAAATAGCAGTTTCGGGGTTTGACTCCCCTGAAGATTCATGCCCCAAAAATAATGCATTAAATGGCAATTAAAAACTAACTAAAGGAAATGGACTAAGAGTTTGGGAAATGTTTTTGCTGATTTTTGGATGAAAAAATGTTTAGATTCTTAATATTTATATGCATAATATATTGACAATTCTGTTTCTTTAGGCAAATATAACATTTCATATAGAAGAACAGACACTTGTAAAAGTCTTTTATATTTTATATACTATAAGATATGGACAGTTTTGTCAGTTTCCTTTCCTGTGTCACATATTGCATTTCAATGACCAGCATAAAGTTCTTCTTATTATTATTGTTAAAGAGTAATGAAAGTCTTACATATATTCATGACTTTATTAGTTATAAAGATTTTTTACAAGTTATATGGCTATATATGAATGGCTTTTTTATATTACAAACAACCGTTTATATATGGCCATATAACATGTCAAGAATCTTTACAATGAATTTATAAAACAGCAAACTTCCTTTTTTAGAAAAAAAGTGAAATTTCTTCATAAATTGACAGCAGCCTGTACATAAAACTATAGAGACATCACAATTAGCCAATGAAGAGTGACGTTACAAATGTGAGTATTATAATATGTTTAACTTTCAGAATGCAGCAAGAATCACTAGGTCTTTATTTGAGATCTGCCTGAAGAAGGGGTGGCCAATCATGGCCAGTCGTCTACTCAACTTAAGCAAGACCATAGACAAAAAGATCTGGGGTTTCGAGACTCCCCTCAGACAGTTTTCTATTCTCCCTCAAGAAATAATCAGCAAGCTAGAGGCAAGGAATCTCAAAGTAGATAAACTAAGGGAAATGGATGCAAAAGAGATTGGTAAGATGAATGATATTTGGTATTTTTGAGATGAAAACTATGTGTAATTACTCCATGATAAAGTATGATAGTAGTTTCTTTTAATAGTAATTATCCTTGTTAAAAAAAATTAAGGAATGGGGCATCTGTGGCCAAGTAGTTGAGATTCTTGCAATAAACTACTTGCCCCTCACCACTGTTGGTTTGAATCATCGGTGACTGGTTTATTTTAAGCTATTCAGCTAACTGGTTTTACTCTGGTGCCAATTTGTGCCTGAAATGACGGTATGCATAGAGGGGCACTTGAGATCAAAGTAAAAAGTTGCCATATGATCTTTACTGTGTTTGTGAGTTGTAAAACCCAACAAAGAAATAAAAACAATACTGATTTTTTGTCATAAGGTAAAATATGCGACACTGTATATGGGTAAATGGTAACAAAGGTTAAACAATTAAGTTATTTCAGTACAAAACTCTGAATGTAATAGTAATTCAGTGTGAGTAGTTGCTCATGTTTCTATTCTACTAGAAAAATCATAGAGATAACCAAACTTGTTAACATATTGGCAGAAACTTTGTTAGTTTAAACATACTTTATTGCATTAAATACATGTTTACAAACATATCATACAAATAATGAATATATATCAAAATGCAAATGGGTTGGGCAACAAGTTCTTACAACATTAGATTAAGCCCTTCCCAGAAACTTTGTTGAGAGAGGATACAGTTTTCAATTTGTTCTGTGTGTCTTAAGAAAAAATGAAATGATAAAGAATTGTAGAAATATAAATGTATACTGTGTATATATACATGTATTTTCACAGGTCACATGGTACATCATATAAAGATGGGAAGTACAATAAAGAAGTGTGTACACCAGCTACCATTGGTTGATTTAGAAGCTACAATTCAGCCAATCACACGCACTGTACTCAGAGTGAGGCTCACTATCACACCCATGTTTAAATGGGATGATAAGGTAATCTAGCGGTTGAACCTGCATGTTTCTCAAAAGATTCAGAATCTTATTTGTATATTAGTGTTCATCTGTGCTATTCTACAAAATAGAAAATTCTTCTAGAATCATAGTGACAGAAGAATGTTTCTAATTTGTGTAGAGCAGCTATAGATGAATTCTAACATACTTACAGGCAAGCATTATTTGGCTTCATTAATTGATATTCACTTTATTACATCACTACGCAGTTCTATGAAGCACTATATAAGTGACTATGAACGGAATTTGATAAAGTATTGACTTGTTCCTCTAAGTAAATTAAAACACAGAATTTTTAGGAAATACAGTGTTTTCATTAGATGAAAAAAATGCTGGACACTAATGGCTAATATAATTAGTGCAATTGGTTTCAAAACATAATTATGTTTGTGTAAATTCATTGCTTTTGACTTTCATCTATTACAGTATTAATTTATGATTAAAGTGATAAAACTTTGAATTTAGAAGTGTAAGCTGACAGAAGTTTTAACACAATCATACTATGCTAAATATCTTAAATAGACTTGCCTATCTTTCAATCTGGACAAAAGCCATACATGTGAACTCTCCCACTTTCAGCGGGAGACTCTCACTTTCTGCAGCCAAATTTTCAAAGATTAAAAGAAGGGGCATTTTCACAAATTAAAGAAATCTCCCTTTTTTTGATGTCAGAACTTCCTTCTTTGTTTATACAAATCCTAAAAAATCTTCCTTTTTTTGAAGAAAAATCTCCCACTTGATCATCAAAAAAAGTTCTCATGTATTACAAAAGCTATTCATCATTTTTGGGAAAATTTCAAAATGAATACTGACTGAATAGTGAACAGTGCAGACCATGATCAGATGGTATGGATGTGACGACTAATCTTGGTCTGCACTGGCTGCATGGGTAGATTCAATTACTGCCAGCAGGGTTAAGGTTTAAGTGAGTGTTAAAGCAGACAATACAAACAGCTACCTAATATCCATGTCTGCTTCTTTTTCAACAAATTTTACGATTATTTCTAAATAAAACCAGCATGTTTGTAATTCAAGCAAGAGGAACAAAATGAAATTTAGTTTTAACATTGATATTACATGTCCCCAAAATTTTATTCAATGGGCTGTTGTGTCCCCCCCCCCCCCCCAAAACAAATATTGACCTGGAAACAACACTTGATTATTTTTTCTGAACTGAACTTAAACTGCTTTATTCCAGTTGCATTACTTTTAAGGTAACGTGCATTTTAGATATATAGATATAATAAATTTTATTTTTTTTATATTTTTTTTTTCACACCAAAACTTGTTAATCTTTTCCTATCCATGCAATGATAATATGTAAATATGTGAATATGAATACAGGTGCATGGTACAGCAGCAGAATCTTTCTGGATCTGGGTAGAAGACCCTGATAACAATCACATCTACCACTCAGAGTATTTCTTGCTACACAAGAAACAGGTATTATATGAAGTATTATTAAGTTTTCCAAAAAAATTACGGCCACATGTATTACTGTTAAAACAAAAGGTTGTACTTTCCTGTATACCAGATGAAAAGACCCTGTATATATGTTTAAGCTTCTATTTTGATTTTACTTTACCCGAGTGTGGAATTATTTTTCCAGTGTTATACAGTACTAAATATTAAACCAGGTTATTCAGTACTAAATATTGTCAGGTTATTCAGTACTAAATATCACAAGGTTAAACAGTACTAAATATTATCACCAGGTTATACAGTACTAAGAATATCACTAGGTTATACAGTACTAAATATCACCAGGTTATGTAGCACCAAATTATTATCAGGTTATGCAGTACTAAATTTTAACAGGTTATGAAGTACCAGATATTTAACAAGTTATACAGTACTAAATATCACTAGGTTATAAAGTACTAAATATCAGGCTATACAGTACGGAATATAAAGAGGTCATGAAGTACCAAATATTTAATCAGGTTATACAGTACTAAATATTATCATCATCAGGTTATGCAGTAGTAATTATTAACAGGTTATGAAGTACCAAATATTTAACCAGGTTATACAGTACTAAATATCACTAGGTTACACAGTTCTAAATATCAGGTGATACAGCACTAAATATTACTAGGTTATACAGTACCAATTTCTTACGGAGGAAGGTAGTCTAGTACTGGTGTAACTCTCCAGGAACGATGGTTAGGAAACTACCCGCCTATATGACTGGAATACTGTTAGGAAAAGGCGTAAAATGAAACAAACAAACAAACAAACCAATTATTTAACAAGATAATACATTACTTAATATCAATAGGATATAAAGTTCCAAATATTTAACCAGGTTATATAGTTCTAAATATCATAACCATTTTGATATATTTTGATTCAAACGAATAGTCATTAGCATTCTAAATTTAGACTTTTTTTTTACCAAATACTCATAATATTATATGTAACGTTTCTGATAAAAAAATATGTTTCAGATGTACAGTAAGGAGCCACAGACTCTTGTGTTCACTATACCAATATTTGAGCCGTTACCTACGCAGTATTACGTGAAGGCAATATCTGACCGATGGCTGGGTAGTGAAACAATGTGTGCCATATCCTTCCAGCATCTTATCCTACCAGAGAGACACCCTCCTCATACAGGTAATAATTTGTAAAAACCAAAAAATATAGGTGTTTTATCACTTTCTAGCTCTGTTAATTACTGGATAGTGGGTCAACCCTGTTGCGTGAACCTGGCGTCTGCAGCTTCTTTTTGCCTACAGGATATGTCAGTCCAATATTCAATAAGTTGTCGATAAAAAAAGTTTAAGCACAGACCAAAATTTTGTGAAATAATTGACACAAAATTTGTGAAAATATTTTTTTCTTAACTGAACAGCAATAAAATTTTGTCAGACAGATATATTCATACCATGGTCTACAAAAAAAATCATTCACTGAGTGGGGGTTTACTCTTGTCTTTCCAACAGCAAAAGAAATAGAAAAAAAATAATTTAAAGGCATATTATGACTCGGAATGCTAACATTTTTTTTTATTTTTGGTATCTTTTTTCAGTTTCAAATGTACTCACTTGTTATATGATGAACTTTTGCTGTCTTTGCTCTGTTGGCATTATGTATAATTATAGTGAAGTCTAAATATTACTTTGTTTATATTTAGCTACCTTTATGACACATAACTTCAGGTTCAGCAGCACTTGCTTCAGTTGTAAAACATCTAACATGCTCTTAATCCATTATAAAAACATTATTAAACTTATGTTTGACATTTCTTTGCAATGTAAAAAAAGAATTTCTGAGGCATAATATGCCTTTAATTATGAGATATATTCAATTTTCATTAAAACAGACTGATTCTTTTACAGTAAAACAAGTTGATGAATAAAAGTGATGACAAAGAATCAATGATAATAGTGAATGATATTGATCACATCTCATTGCATCATATCGATAAAAGCTGATAATTCATTGTTCAGCATATCTATAGCTTTCCCAATTCTATCTTAATAAATTCAACAGTTTAAACTACTTTCCTGAATTAAAATATATCGACATTTGGAATGACAATACAGATTTGATTGGAGGACATTTTTATAAATAATGCACTAACTGATCTGTTTGATCAACATTAATGTTCTCAATTTGTTGATTTAATTCTGGTATCTATGTGACACCATATTTGCTTAATAGAGATCTTTAAGGAACTTCACTGACGTCCAAAAACCTAAAAACATAAAATTTGAATTTCTTACATAGATCACCTGCGGCACTTCAAACAGAACAGTACACACAAGATAATTAAGAATTACACACAGAAATAAACTGTAGTTTTTGCTATTCTTGGGCTCTTGGCCCAGTTTTAGTGTAAAGCATTGTGAGGCTTTTCAATTTTAGGTCATTTTTATACGCCCGTTTGAAAAACGGGACGTATTATGGGAACGCCCCTGGCGGGCGGTCGGGCGGGCGGCGTCCAATTTTGTCCGGAGCATATCTCCTACATGTATGGAGGGATTTTAATGAAACTTCATAGAAATGTTCACCGCTATGAGGAGCAGTGTCGCGCACATGAACCAGGTCTCTAGGTCAAAGGTCAAGGTCACACTTAGAGCTCATTGAAAAATGCTTGTGCGGAGCAAAACTTCCACATGTATAGAGGGATTTCAATATTACTTGGCACAAATGTTCACCATTGTGAGGCGGAGTGTCGCGCACAAAATTCAGGTCCCTGCAGCCAAGGTCAAGGTCACACATAGAGGTCAAAGTTTAGATAAAAATATGAAGATGTGTATAGGGACGATTTAATCATCATTTATTGAGAGATTGTAACACAAATGGTCATTATCATGACTACGGCTGTGACACATGTACTTTAGGTCAATATATGCAAGGTCAAGGTCACTAAAGATGGTGAAATATCCAGATTTTGTCTGGAGCATATCTCCTACATATATGGAAGAATTTTTATAATACTTTATGGAAATGTTCACCACCATGATATGCATTGCTCCATGCATGATCCAGGTCTCCAGGTCAAAGGTCAAGGTCACACTTAGAGCTCATTGAAAAACGCTTGTCCGGAGCAAAACTTTTACATTCATAGGGGGATTTCAATATAACTTGGCACAAATGTTCACCATTGTGAGGCTGAGTGTTGTACGCAAAATTCAGATCCCTGCGACCAAAGTCAAGGTTACACATAGAGGTCAAAGTTCAGATAAAAATTTGAAGATGTGTATAGGGACCATTTAGTCATCATTTATTGATGGATTGTAGCACAAATGGTAACTATCATGACTACAGGTGTGACACATTTAATTTAGGTTAATATTTGCAAGGTCAAGGTCACTGGAGATGATTAAATATCCAGATGTTGTCCTCCGGAGCATATTTTCTACATGCATGGAGGAATTTTAATGTTACTTTATAGAATTGTTCACCACCATGAGACGTAGTGCCCTGCACATGAACCAAGTCTCTCTATTTCAAAGGTGAAGGTCACAGTTAGAGCTCATAGAAAAACGCTTGTCTGGAGCAAAACTTCTACATGCATAGAGGGATTTCAAATAAATTTGGCACAAATGTTCATCATTGTGAGGCTGAGTGCCGTGCATAAAATTTAGGTCCCTGCGACCAAGGTCAAGGTCACACATCCTGTGCATATCTTCCCTACTGATTTGTTTTAAGGTTCATTTAACAACACAGTGCCAAGAATAAAAACTTGCTTGCTAGATAACACTTATCCATAATGCCCCCATCTCCAACTAAAGCTTTCTTAAACGGGCTTATTTTGTGACTATGGCACCCTTGTTCACAATTACAATAATTTTCTCAAAAAACAGAGATCTGAAAATTTGCACACTAGCTATTGGTCTAGACTTACATCAAATGGGACATTAAACTCGAAAGATTATTTCATGTCCTGTCATTGTAAGTTTTGTGCATTATTATTATATAGTTATCTGATAAATTTACACGAATCTTAGTAACAGAAATTGATTTCAGAAATTTAGTATTACACAAGAGTTACCTCATTTACCTAATTTTCTCCTCTTTAATTTCATTGCCAATTTGACAAACATAGCTAAACTTTATTGTATTTTATTGGTTTTTCGAAGTCTGTTGACTTGTATCTGTCAACAAAGTAACGTAATTTAAATCACAAAACACAGAACACAAGCTTATTCTGTTTTCTGTTACAGAGTTATTAGATTTACAACCGCTACCAGTGACGGCTTTAATGAACCCGATGTTGGAGACACTGTATAAATTCAGTCATTTTAACCCGATACAGACCCAGTTATTTCACGTCCTGTACCATTCTGATCACAACGTTCTCCTTGGTGCTCCTACAGGGTCCGGTAAAACTATAGCTGCTGAGTTAGCTATTTTTAGGGTGTTTAGGGAACGACCAAATAACAAGGTATGTAGTTTATCCCTTTACAGCTTTTATGTGAGTAAATGTGCATGTTTGTTTCCATGTTTGTTTTTGATTTAAAAACAACAGTTAACGAAAGTTTTGATTTTACAAGAGCTGTTGATATATGTTTCGATTTACCTTGCGCAGTAGATTAAAGAGCGCAGTTGATAAAAGTTGGGCTTTAATAATTGCAGTTGGTAAAAGTTCCGATTTTTCAAGTGCAGTTGGTGAAAGTTGCGATTTAATAAGTGAAGTTGGATAAAAGTTGCCCTTTAATGAGTGCAGTTGGTAAAAGTTCCGATTTTTCTAGTGCAGTTGGTGAAAGTTGCGATTTAATAAGTGAAGTTGGATAAAAGTTGCCCTTTAATGAGTGCAGTTGGTAAAAGTTCCGATTTTTCTAGTGCAGTTGGTGAAAGTTGCGATTTAATAAGTGAAGTTGGATAAAAGTTGCCCTTTAATAAGTGCAGTTGGTAAAAAGTTCCGATTTTTCTAGTGCAGTTGGTGAAAGTTGCGATTTAATAAGTGAAGTTGGATAAAAGTTGCCCTTTAATGAGTGCAGTTGGTAAAAGTTCCGATTTTTCTAGTGCAGTTGGTGAAAGTTGCGATTTTAATAAGTGAAGTTGGATAAAAGTTGCCCTTTAATAAGTGCAGTTGGTAAAAGTTCCGATTTTTTCTAGTGCAGTTGGTGAAAGTTGCGATTTAATAAGTGAAGTTGGATAAAAGTTGCCCTTTAATGAGTGCAGTTGGTAAAAGTTCCGATTTTTCTAGTGCAGTTGGTGAAAGTTGCGATTTAATAAGTGAAGTTGGATAAAAGTTGCCCTTTAATGAGTGCAGTTGGTTAAAGTTCCGATTTTTCTAGTGCATTTGATAAAAGTTGCGATTTAACAAAGCAGTTGATAAAAGCTTCAATTTAATAAGAGCAGTTGACAAAAGTTCTTGTATAGAATTTGATGCAATAACATTTTAATATAACAATACTGATTCAGTTGTTTAATTGCCTTAATAGCTTATCAGTGTTTTCAGTCAACAAATGTGACTGATCTCTTTTCATTAAAATCAAACATAACTGAAATTTTTCTTTCAGCAAGGTAAAACATACTTCACTGATGAATTATTTTACAGAACAGATTTACTTATAGTGAAGTGACTTTTGGACCAACGTTTCATAGCTTTGTTTTTCAGGTTTTCACATACATGTATTATTGCACAGTTTTATAGAGCAGTTTTTGTCTGACTTTAAAAATAAATAGATAGAAAATAAAAAAAATGAATGAAATTAAAATAAAAAATTTAATGAATAGAATTTCAAACATGTATCTAATAATTGAACATGCTCAAAAGATGAACAAGAAAAAAAAAGACGAAAAAGAAAAATTTGTCTAAGTCGTCTTGTCTTATTGTTATTATAAGCTGTGACTGATAAAATTTTATTTCCAATCCATAACATATGTTTCTTTATTCATCATCTAAGCCCAGGCTGTGTTATTTACCTTTCTGACGTTCATCGTAACATTTAGAAGAAAAATATGATTTATTAGCAGTACAAATAAATGAGTCGACAAACTTTCGAATCCCTGTGTTGACATTTAGAAGAAAAAAAAATATGTTTTAGTATTTAGCAGTACAAATAAATGAGTCAACAAACTTTCGAATCCCTGTGTTGACAATGTAGCTGATAACTTCCTCCTGGTAGAAAATCACAAAAACCCATTTCATGAATGTTTAATTTTATATCCTCGAATACTTGCAGAAATGTGTAATAAAAATAGCCTAGCTGCAGAGAATAACTTCTTGCACAGAATATCAAATGTGATTACAAAATCATTAATTCATGAAAAAAATATTCTGTTTACAGCCTTCACATATTTGATGGTAGAGACTTCTAGTCTCATTATATTCACTGATTTTTAGAGAGGGAAAATTTTCTCTGCTTTCCACTCTTCATATTAAGCTGGGATTTTAATGGAAGGAAAGCCACTCTTTTGTTTTCTTAACCAGTGTCTATTTATGTGGAATTAATTTGTTGCATCTTCAAACAAAATCAAATCTACTTAATTTAAAAATAAATTCTCCATCTTCCATTGTTTTGTAACATTAGTTTAAACATTTTACCATTGTGTAGAAAGTATGAAGCTTACTTGAATCTTTCTCGAGTTTACTTCCTAGACCTGAACAGTATACTGGTGCCTGTTTGCTTCCTAGACCTGAACAGTATACTGGTGCCTGTTTGCTTCCTAGGCCTGAACAGTATACTGGTGCCTGTTTGCTTCCTAGACCTGAACAGTATACTGGTGCCTGATTGCTTCCTAGACCTGAACAGTATACTGGTGCCTGTTTGCTTCCTAGACCTGAACAGTAAACTGGTGCCTGATTGCTTCCTAGACCTGAACAGTATACTGGTGCCTGTTTGCTTCCTAGACCTGAACAGTATACTGGTGCCTGTTTGCTTCCTAGACCTGAACAGTATACTGGTGCCGTTTGCTTCCTAGACCGGAACAGTATACTGGTGCCTGATTGCTTCCTAGACCTGAACAGAATACTGGTGCCTGTTTGCTTCCTAGACCTGAACAGTATACTGGTGTCTGATTGCTTCCTAGACCTGAACAGAATACTGGTGCCTGTTTGCTTCCTAGACCTGAACAGTATACTGGTGCCTGTTTGCTTCCTAGACCTGAACAGTATACTGGTGCCGTTTGCTTCCTAGACCGGAACAGTATACTGGTGCCTGTTTGCTTCCTAGACCTGAAACAGTATACTGGTGCCTGTTTGCTTCCTAGACCTGAACAGTACACTGGTGCCTGTTTGCTTCCTAGACCTGAACAGTACACTGGTGCCTGTTTGCCTCCTAGACCTGAACAGTATACTGGTGCCTGTTTGCTTCCTAGACCTGAACAGTATACTGGTGCCCGATATTTCAGCGATGTTTGAATGTTTAACAAACACAAGAAAAGTTAGAAGAATATTGTTCTGCAAAATGTCATGAATATAATAGGAAAGACATGTCAATTACATCATAGTTTATTCCATATTATGTTTACTTTCGGCAGTCATGTACACAACATGGCGGCAAACACTTATCTGCAGCCTTGTGAGTTAAATTTGTTTATTCACATGTCCAGGGCAATTACCTTTTAACAGTTTCAAAAGCAAAAGCAATAGTTACCTTTATGTTTAGTACATCTATACCTAGCATATATCTGCAGGTAAGAATTTCCTCTATGGTATTTATAAATTATTTCAGCGGTTGTTTAACAAAGACAATTGTCTTACAAGGTACGAAAACTAATAGTGAAATGGTGAAATGATATATTTTACTCTTCACCTAAATAAGATAATAAGTCTTTTTCTCAGTTGTATATGGAATATATTAATGAAAGTACAAAAGAAAGTGGCAGGTGTTTGAAGTGTGGAAGGCACCTGAGATTGATTATGTTAAATGCTAGTACATGTACCTTGGAATTATTGGTAACACAAATAGGGTTTAAACCCCCGTATGATTTAAACCCTAGATACAGAGGCAGACACCTTAACCACTAGACTACTGCTCCATTTTCAAATGTTAGGGTTAGTGTCTGCAATTTGCATACTTATCAAAATATAACATGTAAGTGTTAACTTAGTTTGAACCGTGAAATGCCCATATAATTTAAATCAATGTCTATAAAGCTATAATACCAGTTTTAAACCTTAAAGGGAAATAGCTATATATAGCTGTGTGAGGTTCATAGTGCTCTATATTATGAGTCCCTTGTGGCAGAGGGGTTGTCTTTAATGGCTGAGACGAAGGGGCATCCGTGGCCAAGTGGTTAAGGTTGTTGACTTCAAACCACTTGCCCCTCACTGCTGTGGGTTCGAATTCCGACAGGGACTTTGGATTATTTCATGTGAGGAAGCTATCCAGTTAGCTTACGGAATGTCGGTGGTTCTACTCAGGGGCCCGTTCGTGCCTGAAATAATGCACGGAAGGGCACCTGAGGTCTTCCTCGCCAGTAAAAGTGGAATGTCGCCAAATGACCTATACTGTGTTGGTGTGACGTAAAACCCAATCAAACAAACAATAATGGCTGAGGCATAAGAATTACAGCCACTGTCTATCTCTGTGCAATTGTATGAGACGACTAAATGGGTTTGAATAACTAGAGTCGATGCATCTCTTAGCGTCAGCACTTGAGGTGGTTTTGACCCCTGGTGTTGCTTTGATGTTTGTTAACACTCAACGTAAGCCAAAGTTATCTCTCCTTCTTTGCCCCATATGACTTATACTGTGTTCATGTGCCATAAAACAAACTTTGTATAATGAAAGGTGTGTCTTGTTTTCAGGCTGTGTATATTGCTCCATTGAAAGCTCTTGTACGAGAGAGAATGGAAGACTGGAGAGTCAGGATTGAACAGAAGCTTGGAAAAAAGTAATTTGAAAGCCTTTGTTTTAAAAGCTCAGAGTTTGCAAGTTATGAACCATTTTGGTTCAGTTCTTAATGTGATTGATATCATAGTAGCTGTGAGTTTTGAAACTATGGAAAGGCAAAATTGTTTGATTTGTAGAAGACAAAGATAAGGTCTTTTTTTCAGCAAGATAACTACTTGTGCCTTTCTGAAATACGTGTATATTTTGGGTTCTGTCCCTCTGAAAGCCAGCACTTTGTTTAAAGATAATTCAAGAGCCTTTAATCCTCAAACTGTTAAGATCCATAGGGGCAACTGTGGCCGAGTGGTTAAGGTCCTTAACTTCAAACCATCTGCGCCTTGCCAGTGGGTTTGTACCTGTAAGGGAGTTAAGATTCTTTAATTTGAGGAAGCTATCGGAACACCAGTTGTTCTACTCAGGTGCCTGTTTGTGCATGAAATGATGCAAGGAGAGACACCTGAGGTATTCTTTCATCATTAAGGCGGAAAAACCGCCCTATAATCTTTCCAGTGTCGGTAAAATGGAAACGTGACCCCCTTACACACACACTTCCATTAAATAAATATGTGTATCATTCTTATGCACATAACTGTTTATAATAAACCATATCACCATATGACAGGTTTTAAATGTTTGATGCTACTGTTATCAGGGTGGTAGAGTTGACAGGTGATGTGACACCAGATATGAGGGCTATAGCTAAAGCTGATCTTATAGTGACAACACCAGAGAAATGGGATGGTGTGTCCAGAAGTTGGCAGACAAGAAACTATGTGAAAGCCGTCTCTCTTATTGTGATAGATGAAATTCATCTTCTAGGTAAGTCCATGCTGTTTGTACATAAGTTTGAGTTCAAATGCAAAAGAATATAATCATGAGGGCAGATAGGACTAAGTGATTAATTACAAAGCATTTGAATGATAAACCATATATTATTATACATAAACATATGAAAAATTATTATCATGCTAATAGAAAATTGTTTAAATATTATAACTACATTGAGCTAAGAAGTAATGTGCCTGATGTTATTTGGTTTATTAATGTCATATATGAATGATGTGATGTGATGTATAAGCGTTTCTTTTTTGAGCTCTACATGTATTGTGTAATAATTCTTTGACTGCCCTGTCTTTTTTTCAAAGGGGTGATTTTTGATCATTGATGCTTATTTCATTCTAACAAAAATGACATTGAACTAAATTTGGTGGAGAAGTCATTTTCATGTCATAAGGTTAAGTGACATCACAATTTACATCATTACGTATTAATGCCTCAGTTTTTATAATAATAGTAAAGTGAGTGTTCAGTACAGAATGATAGATAATATTCAATCTAGATAAGTGAATATAGTTTGTCAAAAACAGTTTCGTCACAACACTGAGGGAAATAGGGTTGATAAAAATATTTCAGAAATAACATTGGTACATAAGTTTTTTGAAATGACTTTTATCATTAAGTTTCATTTTGTACTTGTTATATTCCCTTAAATAATTAATTGGAAGTCTAAAGTTGATCTCAGTGCGTATGAGGATGAAGATTTGCCTGTGAATATACATGTATTTAATTTCACATTCAATATATTCATAATAGAATTAACTTTCTAAAATTTGATGCTCTTGCATTCTATAGGCTGCATTATTAAGTTAAAAATACATTTTAGTGATTTCTAATGCAATTTATATTTGATATATCCATTTAATTTTGATACTTTGAGTTTGTTCTTATTCAATGTAGAAAACTATAATATGTTTACAGGATTAAAATTTCTTTTAAGGAAAACCTTTGAGAATAAATTCTTGATAAATTAAAATAAAAGATTTTAAATTCATGGTTAAAATCGCGCTGTTGCTCGTTTTTACTAATGTAAATGATAGTTTTGTAAAAACAATGCTGAAATTACATTTTGCTTTGAATTTTCACATCTCATAAAGTTTGCAAATGGGATAATAATAATGTAGGAAGTAAAAATTAGCCATATTTTAATAAGAAAATTTCAATATATAAAACAAAGGTATGTGTTTTTGAACACCAGAATGTTTAAATTCCAGACTTTATCTTATAAATTGAATATAAACACGAAAAATGCAACAAATCAGTGGTATTTTCTTTTTCTTGATTTTCCCTTGAGGAAATTTTTTGTTTGCCAGAGTTTAAAATTAAAAAATTTGCAAAAACCCACAATAACAGTTTGGGTGCTTATTTCACCTTTCATTTTTGGGGTATATAAAATTGAAAAAATCTTTTTTTTTAAAATGGAAAAAAAATAAAATTAAGTAAAGAAATGAACACGTTGTTAGAGGACGTTGTTAAAGGAATTTATGTCTTGCACAGAGAGTCAGGGTAAAATGAACCCTACTTATTTGAAAAAAAAACACAAAAAAACCCAAAAACTCCAAAAACCAACAGATATGAAGTAACTGATCAAGTAGATTGTACTAGCCCAAACCCAAGCAAAATGTGCACTAGAGGACTGCATGGCACAATTGTTTTTGGATTGGCGATTTGTTCTTTCTGCATATAGAGTGTGTGAATTTTCACCCCCAAAAAACCCCACCATTTTCTGGTGCCAACGGTTGAAACACCATCTTCCTGGTTCCCTTTCCAATTAGCCCTTGAATTAGATTGAAGGTTCTTCTTTTCATCTACATAAGGCACAAAACAAAACACTATGTAAAAGTAAAGAGTTATTTAATTCGAACCTAAAACAAAATTAAGATAAAAATATCAAACAAAAAGATAAATCAGATGATTAATTTTATATTCCAGTGGCTAGTTTACCGTCTTAATGTTGGTTATATGTGGATGGTATATCTGTATTGTAGGCAGCTAAAGAGTTAGGGATAAGGAGTTTTTCTGGCATTTGTTTGTTGTCTGATCTCAACATTGATCACCATCTCAGTTATTACTTTTTCCCATATACATGTATACCAGACTTGTTCTTTTGCATCCTAGCATATTGCTCATTGAACTTGATATTTCAGTCAATCAAATTGAGAGGGTTTTCATTATTAACAGATTGGCGATCCATATCATTGGTTTAAATACATGGCCTCATGACTTTTTCTAGTTGTCTTTATTGCTGAAAAAAGTCGCTGTATATAGGTATACATGTATGTGTTCTCATTTAGGAAATGACAGAGGGCCTGTTTTAGAGGTGATTGTCTCAAGAACCAACTTTATCTCTTCACATACAGAGAAGAAAGTGAGAGTTGTAGGTTTGTCTACTGCTCTAGCTAATGCCAGGGATCTAGCTGACTGGCTGGCTATAGGACAGGTAAGTAATATTGTATACATGTTTTCACTGTACTGCCGTATGTGACTAAAATGTTTCCTGTACTTGTATGGTTACAGGAAAGTGGCGTCTTGCAAGTAGGCCCTTTTGAATGCAATGACTGTATTTGACTGATTTCTGCATCCCCTTGTACTTGGTATTTAGGAGTTACATGTATAAATTGTCAGTTTGTAACTTTCATGTCTCAACTATATGCTTTGATATTCAACAACACACTTAGGTCTTGGTCACATAAGGAAGCTACATTACAGAAGGTCATAACAGCCTCCATGGTCGAAGGGTTAGAGTCGATGGCTTCTAATCCAGTTACCTCTCTGGCATGGATTTGATCCCCAGGAGATGCTTTGGTAGTTTAGTGCGGAGGAAGGTAGTCTAGTACTGGTGTAACTCTCCAGGAACGATGGTTAGGAAACTACCCGCCTATATGACTGAAATACTGTTGGGAAAAGGCGTAAAATGAAACAAACAAACAAACAGAAGGTCATTGGTTCTACTCATGTGTTGTTTTCACCTTAAATAATGCATAAAATGAACTTTTGAAGTATTCCTTTATCATTTAAGGTGGACCTTTTTATTGCATTGTGTGACTTAAAAGTCAGCATAACTACATTCTGACAATTTTAAAAAGGCCTCCAAAATGTTGTCTAATCTTACTTAAAGTCCTATATAGAGCAAAATTCTTCCATAGATATGTTTAAAGAAGTACATGTAAATCCACTTAACTTGCATAACTTTGTTTGAGGAAGTTAATTTAGTTAGCTTGCAAATTGTAGGTGTTGCTACCAAGAGAGCAGTATAATTTCCAGTTTAATTAAAGTGCAGGAGATTGATGTATTTACCAATTTAATGTTTTTGACTCTTGATTTGATAACTGTATGAAAACTGGGAAAGTACATGTATAATATTATTTGATTATTTATTTTCTTTGGTTTAGACATTGTTAATCACAAAGTTGTAAGACCAGAATTAGACTGGATTTATAGCTTTATATTTCGGAACATTTTCCTGGCTTACGTAATGGCTGGATGTAAGACAGTAAAGTAGACCTCTAGATTGCTTGCTGGCTGCTGATGTAATCTCCGTCTTAATGCACCTCAAGGGACATTGTTAAATAGATTTACTGTCTGGCCGAAGCTTTTCTCTTGTATATTTTACTATTCACAAGTATACATACAAATTAGATATCGGGGAAATTTTAAATTTTGGCCCAAGGCTTTTCCTTCAAAATCAAAAAATTTTTAAATTAAAAAAAGGAAAAAACCTTTTTAATTTTTAATACTTTTAGATTATCTTCTTGTACTTGGATTTGTGTGTAAATTTCAGTTGATATGGCCATTGTAGCTGAGTGACCAAGTTTCCTTGTTTTTGTTTCGTTTAACAATTATGAGTATGAATTGTATATAAAATTTTAGTAATGTTGACTTTACTTCTGTTTGATAAATGTCAAGTGAGATCATGTGATTATACATGGCATCAGTCTCTTGTCTGCTATGAGACATTTACTTGGCACTAAGTTGTGTTTCATTACCAAAACCAAGCTAGAATTATATAGCCTAACTGGAAAACATCCTCACATGAAAGACTCCAAAGTCCCTGGCAGGATTTGAGCCCACATAAGTGAGAGGCAAGTGGTTTAATATCAGCAATTGTAACCACTCTGCCATGGCGACCCCTTATAAAAAAAATTAATGTTTCCCATCTGTCCAGCTAGCTTATGGAAGGTTGGTGGTTCTACCACAGAATTCATTTGTTCCTAAAATAATTCATGGAGGAGAGGGCAGGATATGTCTCTGTCAGTAAAGCTGGGAGGCCTTTATATGATTGTATAACTGTTTGCTTGACTTAAAGCCAAACAAATTAAAAAAAAAAAAGATTATTTCACATGTTTCTTTTAACCCTAGGTTGGTTTGTACAATTTCCGTCCATCTGTGCGTCCAGTTCCATTAGAGGTACATATACATGGTTTCCCCGGACAGCATTATTGTCCAAGGATGGCTACCATGAATAAACCTACATTTCAAGGTAAGTTTTGTCAAGTTTAATGAGATTTTAACCCTTAAATTGCTTTATTTCTACAATGAACTTGCCTGGCTATGTATTTAGACCAGTCCATTGTTAGTTTTAAGGGAGCTCAACATCGGGATACAGAAACTGAACAGTACAGAGTATTATCAGAATGCAGGGATATGCTAGCTCTCCTTACTTTATATTGGTTGTGAATCCAAGTCAGTATTAATAGGCAAATACAAATTTAAAGCAGAATCTTGTCCATTATATAAATTAAACATAATCAACATTTTCATTTATCCGCAAATTAAGCTGAAAAGAAAAGTTTTATAGTATTCCAAACAAGTCAGTTCTATGAACAATGTACATATCTTTTTTTTTTATAAAAAGAAAAATGTTTCCCTATATGCATATAGTAAAAACTTAAAAAATCTTTTTTTAAAGAACCCAAAGAGCTAGAGCTAAGATATTTAGCATGAAACATATTCTAATGGATGTCTACCAAGTTTGTTCAAATAAGAGCCCTGGGGTCAAAATTGGCCCCGCCCCGGGGGGTCATTGATTTTGCCTTATATGTGTATAGCAAAAACTTAAAAAATCTTCTTTTAAAAAAAAACAAATAGCTAGAGATTAGATACTAAGCATGAAACATCTTCTAGTGAGTGTCTACCAAGTTTGTTCAAATAAAAGCCCTGGGGTCAAAATTGGCCCCGCCCTGGGGGTCATTCATTTTCCTTATATGTGCATAACAAAAACGTAAAAAATCTTTTTTGAAAAAACTCAAATAGCTAAAGTTTAGATATTAAGCACGAAGCATCTTCTAGTGAGTGTCTACAAAGTTTGTTCAAATAAAAGCCCTGGGGTCAAAATTGGCCCCGCCCCGGGGGTCATTGATTTTCCTTATATGTGTATAGCAAAAACTTAAAAAATCTTCTTTGAAAAAAAACAAATAGCTAGAGTTTAGATACTAAGCATGAAACATCTTCTAGTGCGTGTCTACCAAGTTTGTTCAAATAAAAGCCCTTGGGTCAAAATTGGCCCCGCCCTGGGGGTCATTCATTTTCCTTTTATGTGTATAACAAAAACTTAAAAAATCTTTTTTGAAAAAACTCAAATAGCTAAAGTTTAGATATTAAGCACGAAGCATCTTCTAGTGAGTGTCTACAAAGTTTGTTCAAATAAAAGCCCTGGGGTCAAAATTGGCCCCGCCCCGGGGGACATTGATTTTCCTTACATGTGTATAGCAAAAACTTAAAAATCTTCTTTGAAAAAACCCGAATAGCTAGAGTTTAGATATTAAGCATGAAACATTTTCTAGTAAGTGTCCACAAAGATTGTTCAAATAAAAGCCCTTTGGTCAAAACTGGCCCTGCCCCAGGTGTGTCATTGTTTTAAACTATGTGTAAAGAAAAAACTTGACCAGCTAGACCTTAGATGTTTAGCATGAAACATCTTCTAATGGGTGTCTACCAAGTTTGTTCAAATAAAAGCCCTGGGGTTTAAACTGGCCCCGCTCCAGGGGCATATTATACAGGTGAGCGACTTCAGGGCCATCATGGCCCTCTTGTTTATTCTTCATGTACAGACTCAATTAATCCAACTGAGTCTGCAATTTTCATGTTATTTTGTTGTGATTTATGTTTCTAAGGGATCGCCCTTTTTCCAGATTTTTATATTTAATAAATTTAGATTTAAGGAACTCTCCATATTTCAAAGGACAAAATAATGGTATCATATAATACATTCTTTCTTTATTCATTTAAACAGTTTTGACTTTATGTAATAAATTAACCCTTAACCTGCGGGAATGAAAATTGCCTTCAGTATAGAATCAGTCTAGCTTATACATCATATGAAATCTGATTAGGCTTTATAATGTTGGTGGCTTAATTAATATCTGTTTTTGATTTTATATTGAATTCTTATATTGTTCAAATCGTCTGTTCCAAATTCAATGTAGGGCAAATTAATTACACAAAGTCAGCAGGCTTGAAGTTCAGCAGACAAATTTATTCATGTCTTTAGACTGGTTTACAAACTTAATTTTAAGTTAACGATTTTAGAATTCCTAATCATTGTTAATTCGAGTGTTTCTAGACAGACGTAAATTGATTAGTATCACAACTCGTCCCATTTCATTACAGCGATCAAATCTCACTCACCCAGTAAACCAGTCCTGATCTTTGTATCGTCACGACGACAGACCAGACTTACAGCCCTCGATCTAATCGCATTTCTTGCGGGAGAAGACAATCCTAAACAATGGTTACACATGCCAGAGAACGAGGTAAGTGACACAAACTTATTTATATTTCAGCAAACTGTCGCTCAGCTGTCAGCATTTATTACGGTCTTTGGAAAGAAGCGTCGAGGAATTTCGGAAATTCAATTTCTAGGTTTTTTTCGATTTTTTGCGAGAATTTTAGCTGGAAGCGAGAATTTTTATGTTTTCATCGTCTCATCGATCACGTTTTTGATTAAAAACTGTTTTTTCCAGACAACGTGGTTTATTGTATGTATGTCTAGGTAAGTTCATAAATGTGTGATAAAATGTTAAATTAAAATTCAGATTTAGAGAGAGTTGGTTAAATAATTGCGAGTTCGTGTATCTATATTTTATTTTAAAGCTCAGATGATGAATTGATATCAGTATTGGTATACATCTTGTGAATTATATATTTTATACATGTATATCGTGTGTCATCACCATTACGAGCGAGAGAAAAAACTGATCTTTATGATTCTGACAAGATGATGTGATGTTTTAGTATCATATTTTATATGACCTAGCTCCCCTTTCATCATGGACAAAGTAACATTGTTGAAATGATAATAACATTTGCCACTCAGTGATAAAAGCTAGAGTGTTAGAAAAGTGAAATTCAGTAGATTCTGTGTCATATTTATTTAAACATGGTAGATTAAACACCGTCTTTACTCTATAGAAACATTCAGTTTCCAAGAAATCAGATAAAAATAGGTTTTGAGATGGTTACTTTCCCTAACCTCTTAACCTGAGATTATGTTTGCCTATACATGATACTTTGTCAACATAAATATTATTGTAGCTTGGTCAAGATTGTTTGTTCAATCTTCATTTTAGGGGCATCTCTGGTTAGAAGTCATTGACATCAAACCACTTGCCCCTTATTACTGTGGGTTCAAATCTCACAGAGAACTATGGATTCTTTTATGAGATTACAGAACTTTTGTGGTTTTACTCAGGTGCCGATTCCTGCCCGAAGTAATGCACATAGGGACACCAAAATGTTTTATTTATCTATTCACCAGTAAAACTGGAAAGTCACCATATGACTTTACTGTGATGCAGCGTAAAATCCACCAAAAAAAAAGTTATTTTGGCAGTTCACAAGATTTTGTCTGTTTTATGTTCTTTTTTTTAAAAATTTTGAAGTATGTTTTTTAATTAATATATTATTCTAGGCAGTGGTTTGAACCATTTATCACTTTTCTTTCTAAATTGATATAAAACAAAGCAAAGAAACTAACACAAATAATCTATAATTAAAGGAAACAAGGAAATAGGAATAATCTAAAGAAAAGATAACATGTTAATGCTGTCCTTTTTTTCCTGTTTTGATATTTAATACTGTTGAAATGAGCTCATTCCAGCTTTGATGTTTCAGATTTAATTCTGATAATGAGCAAAATATTCTTTGTGAAATGGAAAAGTAGATGTTATGTAGAAGAACCTTAATTTCCTGCCTATTAAATATTGTGATTTTATTGTGATTCAAGGATTTTATTCAATTTAAAGAAATAATGTTAAAATTTCTGTGTTTTATGTATTGGGAAAATTTTGTATGGATTCATTAATGAATTTTTTTACTTATAGAAGTGAATCCATGGTTTTATTCACCCTCCATAAAATGGTAAAATGTATTAAATCTTTTCTGATCTGCCAATTTATTGCCAAAATGTAAGTCTTAAATATATCCGACATACAAAATAACAGGGGAATAAAAGAAGATTTCTTATTTGAATAATTGATCGCCAATAAATGAAAAACTTCATGGTGGATCTCTTTGTATTATCTAAGTTGTAATATACAATTTACGTAAGAAATTGCGATGGGATTCGAAGGAAAATGATTTTCATTAGTCTTAATAGAATATCTTTCTTATTTGTGGAACTATTTTTATTCACATTTAAAGGCCCATAACTGTTCGGAGTAATAATTTGTCTGTGGCAGTATTTCTTAATAAAAAAAAGATGCCATTTGGGTGTCAAATATATATACTGTTAGTCAACCATGTATTTCATTTTCCGAATGTATAGTTAACTATTTCCTTAACAGAAAAATATTTTAAAAATTCAGCAACTTTTTTATCCTGAAAAAGTGAAACAAAATATTAATGTTATTTCAGTTAGCACAATTTGGTGATGATAAAATTGTATACAATGTGTGCATCCAAACAGCCTTGTTTTGCCCTATGCATCAATTCTTACTACACTTAATATTTTAAATTGACTTGCCCATCATACAATATGGACTAAACCATTCATCATTTTTAGGGAAAATTTTAAAAAATGTACTGACAGAATAGAAGCAAACAGTACTGATAGATGTGCCAGTTGATCTAGGTCTGCACTGCATAAGGTTGCATGGGCCACCAGGAGACTAAGGGTTACTTTATATACATAACATAAAAAACCCTATTAAAAATGTAATTAGACTTAAAGGCCCATGGCAAAATCATAGAAAGAATGTCAATTATGTAGGATAAGACACTGAGTGTGGAAATTCTGGTATAAAAACTAAAGTCTTATTTGATCAGCTTTAATCTTTTGATGGGTATTATAGCCTTAACTGGACTGAAATAGAGTTTGCGTGTTTAAAATCTTTAATAGGTACAAATCTAAATCAGACAAACTTTTTTGATGAATTATTTAAGGTGTGAGATCAACCTATAAATCATCTAAGCGTCTTTTAGAAAATTGATTACCATATCAATTCTTTTTAGCACCCCCTTTGCTAAATAAGTACCACCATTCTATTATGTACCCTCTTTTTCTAATGAGTACCCCTTTACTAATAAGTACTCCCTGTTGTAAAATAAACCCCCTTTTCCAATAAGCATGCCTTTGCTAATAAGCTTCCCCTTTGCTTATTAGTAACCCTTTTCAGAAAAGTACCCCCCTCCTTTCTAATATGTACCTCTTTGCTAATAAGCTTCCCTTTGCTAATAAGGACCCCCTTTTCTAATAAGCACCCCTTTGCTAATTAGTACCCCCTTTCTTATAAGTACCCCCTTTTCTAATTAGTACCTCTTTGCTTATAAGTACTCCTTTTTCTAAAATATACCCCCTTTTCTAATAAGTTCCTCCATTTCTTATAAGTACCCCCTTTCTAATAAGCACTCCTGCATAATAAGGGGAAATAATGCAATCCTTCAACAGTAAACTAGAATGTTTCCCGCCATATGACCATTATAGTGTAAGCGTTGCCACGTACTTCACTTCAGTGTTGTAATATTTTTCTGGTCCTTCGGGATCATTGATACCGGCACTATTAAGTGTTGATAATTGAGTACCGCTCAAGCCGGTGCTAGGAGGCGTGAGGGATGTTGCACATAGACTCAATCAAACCAAGTCTGCAATTCTCTTGTAATTTTGTTAGGATTAATGCTTCCGAGGGATCACTTTGTCTCCAGATTTTTATATTCAAACAAACTGTTTTTGAGACTTACAATTAAGGACAATTAGCCAAAAGTCATAATACAAAAATCTGTTGTTCAGTCTTATAATGTGTGTAAATTTGATAGATATAAAACTGATATACTGTTTAAAATTTGGTGTCAAAACCAATAAAACAAACAATAAAAAGCCAATACATGCTGTACAAATGTATACAGCAAAAAGTCTTTCTAAAGGGCTTCAGAGTATATGCCTGATAATTCTGTAGTTCATATCCCGTTCTATCTCATCCTGTTGCATTCTTTAGGAACAATACAGTATTATGTTTACCATTTTATCTATTGATTTTATATAATTTTCTTGAATTTCAAATATTAACGAGAAGATGTTAAACTTGTTTTGATTGTCTGTCTAAACTTTCATCAGTAATACATTGTATTTCTGATAGTGTGTAAATGTCAGTGCTGTTAAAGCTAATCATTTCTTTCAAGTACAGCTCTTGTTCAGATATTTAAGTAGAAATCTGGGGAATGAGAAAAAAAAAATTCTTATTTACATAATTGGTTAAATTATTTTTATGAGAAAAAAGTGGTACATATGTACAATGTATATTAATATATTTGTTTGTGCTACAAGCATTGTAAAATGTTTAATGCAATAAAAGATATTGAATTGATTTGAAATTGAATTGAGATATGGCATTTTCCATTAAAGGTGCAAATTTTTATAAACGAGTAATATTGTTTTTCAAGATGGACAATTATCAATTTACCAGATACAATACTTTATATATTGTATAAAAGGCAATTATTGTTTTACCAGTTATAAAAGGCAATTATCAGTTTATATAAAAAAAAGGCAATTATCAAATTACAAATATATGGTATAAAAGGCAATTATCAGATTACTGAGATACAACAACAACAACAACAACAACAACATTTATTAAGCATTAAACACCTGAAAGGTGCATATAGCCAATATTTACAATTGTTACTCTTGGGCTTTTACATAAAGCATTATATATTAAATAAAAACCAAGATGTTGGGTTCACTTCTAAGTTCTCTTCTTTATTTACATATCTGTCACAAGCAATTACAAATGATGGTTGACAGCTACTTGCAGTTACAACAACAAGTGACCAAGATATATTTCCTTATAACAAGAAGACAAACTTTCAAAAGTTTACGAAGACAACAATCTCAACTACAGGTTACACAGAAAAACGTAGGCGGCACTGAAAACCCCGCGAATCAGCACGTGATACAAAGAAATTACTAACAACCAATCAAAACACAGTATGCAAACAATAAAGTTCAAAGTGCATGGCAATGACTAAAACTCTTACAAAATACATTGAAAACACAGTCAGGATGGTCTGGTCACACACTCCCCCACCTTACAAAAATGACGTCTCGTCATTAAGTCACAGTCTTTAAGTCAGACGTCATAAATATGTCATGTCAAAGAACTACTACACGACGCTCCTACTCAAAATACACTACATTAACCTTATATACTATATACTAGATATATGAATCATACTCACCCAAATTTTACAAAAGACTCTCATCATCAACATCAATTGTTTCCAATATGTTTAACGTAGCTACAGGCAACATCTCAAT